TTCGGAAGCAAAAGCCCTCTAAACCTTCCTCCCCCCCCCGCTCCCAACCAAAATAAAAAAATCCCCTTTAGTTTCAGGACGGCGGCTAGTCAGCTGGCAGCCTCCCCAGGCCCTTCGTCCAACGGTCCGAACCCCATAGCGCCCCCGCGCACCCGTCGTTCCTCCTCCCACAACTCCCTCCTGTCCCTGGAGACCACGTGCGCCGACATCCAAGCGGCGAACGCAATAACCGGCGGTGTCCAAGCTAACCAGGACCTCCCCTACATGACGCCCCCCCTGCTCACCCTGCCGCGATTCCCCCAGCCCCAGTCAACCCCCCAGCACTTCAGCGGTGATTCCCAGGACTCAAAAGGCTACACAAGCATTTCCGTTCGCGAGCCCCTCGCCAACATAATAGCACAGACTAAAGCGGCCCATCAGCACCGAGGGAATCGCTCGGACTCGCATTACGCGACAGTCTCGGACGATTCGGACGAGATGTACGCGGCAATTGACGAGCAGGAGAAGATTTACACCAGTGGAAGTGAGACTTATGCGCAGATTCAGCCGATGATGGAGCCCCAGAGGCCGATTGTCGATCCCCAGGTGAGCATTCACCCCCAGCCGTCGAGAAACGAGGAGAATCCAATGGTTTTTCCAGCCCCTCAGCCCCCCAGTGTCGACTCCCTTCGTTATGTGGCACATGCACACTCGAGACAGGCCTCCAGCTCGAGTGCCACCAGCTCAATTGTTAATCCTGGCTCCCCGAAGCCGGAAAAACGACAGGCAAACTCACCACTGCCACCACCACCGCCGCCCCTTCCCTCCGAGGAGGCCACCGATGTTTATGCGTTGATAGACAAGTCTGGGAGGAGTGAGGAGGGCTCGAAGCACACGGAAGCTACGGGGAAGTCCCTCGAGGACATGTACGCTAAGGTAATGAAGAAGAAGAGGGACTCGGAGGAGAACTCGGATGGCGGTAAGAAGCAGAGCGTCATGGAGATCAGCAGGGCCTCCTGGTCGAGTCACGACTCTGTGGAGATCCAGAAGAAGGAGCCTGAGGTCGGTGGAGCTTCTAATGTACCGCAAGAGGGGTTCAATATGGACTCGATCGAGTTTGCGAAGGTCGCGAGGATTTATGAGCTTGACACGACTCCTGAGTACAGCTTTGAGGACCTGACGGTGATCAGGGGGCCCCAGAGGGCTGAGAGTAATGATCCCAATTATGAGATGCTGAGACCTCAGAGCTTGAGGGACGAGGGGAGTGGGGTGAGGAATGGGGTTGACGTTCTACCTTTTTATTCGGTGCCTTTCAAGCATCGACAGGTCAGCAATGCCAGCTCTGAGGACCCGGGCTATGAGAAGGTTAGGCTTAGGAGGAGGAATGACGATGATACTGACTCGGAGCCTAATTATGAGAGCATGCCACACGAGACGGAGCCCAATTATGCGTCTGTCTGCAGGGCTGACAGTGACACTGATCCTAATTATGAGTCGGTTAATAATTCTGATCCGAATTATGAGAGTGTGAGGTATCTGGGGGAGGGGCAGGAGCCTCCTTATGAGCGGGTTGATGGGAAGGGAAAGGGCGTCGATGCGTATGAGAATGTCAGCAGGGGGGAGGGGAACTATGAGAGGATTCAGGATTCGGGAGAGTGTAATGACACTGATGACGAACAGTATGTACAGGTCTGATGGGGTTCTAGGGGTTTTTGTAGAATTTTTTTTCACGTAATTTATCCAACCGGTTATATTTATCTTTTTAGAACGACTAGTTTTAGCCAATTTACGGTCGTAAATAAGCAAGAATAACAAAAAAAACTCGAACTCATTTTTTTTTTTTTTTTTTTTTTTTTTTTTT